TTTGCCTCAGTCTGTGTCAGTCTGTGCCTCAGAACCATGACAGTCTGCCAGCAACACTGACCTCCAAGAACTCAGGTCTTGGAGACAGATGAAAAGGCTGGAACAAGGATGTTATACTCTTTGTGAAAAGTGGTCAGTCAGGAAATGCTTACATAAACATACTTGCAGGCCCTGCAACCACAAGGGCTAAGAGAGCCAGCAGATGTCATTGTGAGGCCACTCTTTATCATCTTTCATTGACTGTGGCAACTGAGAAAAGTGTCCAAAGTCTGAAGCAGAACAGATGCCACTCCTAACTTCAAGAAAGGCAAGAAGAAGGATCTGAGGAATAAAAGGCTAGTCAGAATCAATTTGAGCCTCGGAAATGTGATCCTGGAAACCATTTTCAAGCATATGAAGGAGAAAAATATTGTTAGTAATAGTGAATCACCAAGCGCAGAAGGTGGCGATCAGCAGAACGAAGGTGATTTTGTCTCTGTGAACCCATACTGACTACTCCCAGTCATCACTTTGTCCTTCATATAGTTTAGAAATGCTTTCTAATATTATTTGCTGCATTGCCTTCGCCGGGATCAAGGTGAAGCTGACCGGCCTTTACTTCAGAGGATCTATCATTGTTTCCTCTTGGAGACAGGAGTGGCATTTGCTCTCTTCCAGTCCTTGCAAACTTCTCCCAAATTTCCATGAATTTTCAGAGAAAGGTTGGCCTCACAGTGATGCCTGTGAGTTCCCTCAGCACTTGTGCATGCTTCTGTTAACTCCCACAGCGCTCGTTTCCATCCTTTTGTTTTCAAAGTTCCTCAGCAGAATTCTTCTGAACCACGTGTGCACGTTGCTTCTTACTGAAAATCCTCATTGAAATCAAGAGAACTAAGTAAACAAGAAAGGACCACTTCTTTATGATACAAATTGGCCACCCTTTCTGTAACTTTTAATAAGAACATGCGAACTTTTATAAAGTCTCCTTACACTGTGTTACTCCCACTATCCTTAGGAACAGAATGGCTAGCACCAAAGTTAAAATGCCTCTGTTTTGCTTTTATGAAGGAGAACCTGTTGAGGTCCTGGAAGATATCCTGATAGCCTTCAGGCCTTCTGTATGCAATGAAAAGTTTTGTGCTGTGTATTTCAGTGTACTGCAATGCAATGGAGCACTTTTGCTCAGCTCCATCTGCATAACCTGTGTAGTCCCTAGAGAGCAAACAGAGTGTAATGTTTGTGATCTCAGATTCAGGAGACAACACCCTTCTATAATTCCTGAAAGCACCAAAACTGATGTAACCCATAATGAGTAACATCCAGTGTAAGAGTTCTAGAGTTTGAGAAACATCAAATAGCAAAATGGAATTTGAGAAAAAATCTACCATTTATACAGCTGTTTTTCACTTTTGTGAGAACAGCAGTTGTCAACCCAGGCATTACTAAGTGAATAGTCTTCTGTTGTATAGAGAAACACATGGTGGTTTAAGTATGTGATGTTCTGCACTGTAGAAATCTTCACTGTAGAATTATTTAAGGACTGTTTGGAAGTACTGGGAGCAATAGATAGTAGGCAACAGACTCAATTCAGTCCTATATATGTCTCTGGCATGCCATGAAAACAGGATATGAATTAAGATAAAGTTGACTGTTACATTCTAATATTGAAATATACTTATCGTATTAAAAAAAAAGCCTACAGTTTCCAGGAAAAAGAAAAAAAAAAGAAGTTTTGTCAGATTGCTGTGTCAGTTTGTTTCAATAAGCTGTTAGATGTATTGAATTTGGTATCTTCGTGACTGGGGAGAAAAGAACTCAGTGTGAAGTAAAACTGGAAGGTTTGATACAAATATTAATTTATGTTCTGGTATAATGAAAACATAATCTATATTCTCTAATGAGCCACTGGGTTTTGGAACAGAAATTCTTTATTCAAATCTAGAGCTAATTTTGAATTTTTAACCTGTTATCTTCAGAATCTGAAATTCCTATGTTTCACATCTGTTTGAACATTTTTAGTCCTCTTCATTGAAAAACATAGTATGGGCTTTCTTTAGAACAGTGCTTTTTGCCGTCAAATTTTCTCCAGTGTAAATCTGGCAATGCACAGACTTTGAAATAAATGTTTGTTTCTAGTACGGTCCATTGCCCACGCTTTAATTTAACTGCTGTTTGAGAGACTTTGAATTATTTCTCCTGCAAATTCTTTGCAAATTTATTGGCTGATAAAATGTATTTGCTGATATTTTATCCTCGATAATCAGGCAACAGCATATTATACCAGAAACATTTTTTGTTGTTATTACTGAAAATATTGGCTTTCTGTAGACTATTGTCGTTTTACACTAAGAAAGTATTTAAGTATCGTTCCGTTGTTGTCCATGTTATTTTTCATCCTCAAACTTCCTGTATCTCATTAACGTAGTTAAGTTTTAGCTTGTATGTTGTTTTCACTGCTCTGTCATCCATAGAACATTAAGCATCACCTGGTATAATAACAGGGATGATAATGAAAAGTTTAAGCGGGTTTGTACGAGCACTTTTGTTAAAAGACTTTGCAAAACAAATAATTTAGAAACTGATAATAACACTAAGACTCAACGTGTAGTAATTTCATTGATGTTTTTTTCTAAATATAAATGTTTTCTAAAGACTATTCCCCTTAAAGACGATTTGACGCAAGACATTCATTTGAATTTGAAAATATATCCTGTGGTGGTCTGAAGCTGTTGTTGTGACAGTAAGGATACAGCAAGCATCCTAAGTTCACGTAAATGAAGATTTATTAGTGATTCTAATGTTGAAGCTATATCTGGAGGAAAACAAGAGAACATAGAAGAAGAGGGAGAGAGAGGGCAGAGCAAAAAGGAAAGTGAGAGATATGGGCACCACGGAGGAGAGAGAAAGGTGGAGGAAGGGAGAGACACATAGGAAAGAGATGACGCTGGGGCTTCCTGGATAAGTGTCCTACCCTGGGCACTCTTTCCAGTAGAATGGGGGGTTGCCCTCGCAGTACTTCTCCCACGGTAACTCAGTATTTTTCATCAGGACATGCACAAATCCCCCATCGATCGCTCCTGCTTATGATGCTGTAACCGCTGGTGGAATAAAATGTTGACTGGGGAAGGTGCTGCATGGCAGGTTCAATGCTGCACTTTCTGCAAGAATTGTTGATGCCAAAACGGGAGCTGCAACCAAGTGATAGGAAAAGGGAGGGGAGGAATGGATGATTCCAGAGACAGTTGCTTCCTATAGCCCAACATAGCCATGTCTGTAGTTGCAAGGCCAAGATTACTAAAAACAGCAGGAGAACAACACCAGAAAAACATTGTTGCAAATTTGAGTTACTTTAAACTACAACTTTATTCATTTACTGCCAAAGACTTCTGCTGATGTGAATTTAGAAAGACCCTGTGGAATCTTTCACATACAGGAATGTTCAATGACACGGTCAGTTACAGATTAAAGAAGAAAAATGTTTAAAATAAATTCTGAAGTCTGTTAATTGTGAAGTCAGACGTGATGTTGACACATCTTCAATATCTACGTGGCTTAACCTACCCAGATCATATCCGTTACAAATGATTTTAAATAGCTTCTCTTTGTGGCTGTTGTTGTTGTATGTTATTACTTGGTTATTCTGCAGCAGTGTTGGTGTAGTGCATCGCCTCTGTTCAGTCATTCGTGTAAAATCAGAAATTGTTCTGTGCTGCAGCTTCAGGGAGCACAAGCACTTCACCTAGGTCTGGAATATTATCTGGGGGCCAGGATCATATATAGCCTGTCAGAATTGTTCGTAGGAGATAGAGTCTGTATCATGCAACCTGGATCCAGCCACTTTTAACAACAAACACAGCTGCTGCAGGTAATCAGCTCTAACCCCAGAGCAGGCTCTGAAAGCCCGTGTATTCTAAAAGTGCTCCTGCTGCATCATATGCATTTTTAGTTGCATCTGTCCTGTACTAAACAGTCACGCATTTAGAATAATACCCACATTTCTGTGTCTGCCTGAGTGACAGGCAAAGATGTGAGATTTCAAAGCTCTGCATTGCTTTGTTGCAAAATGTATCTTCTTAGAAAGTCTTCATACTGACCTGATGTATTTCCAGAGCCTAGTGGGGCTTAACAAACTAAAAGAGGTATTTTATACACCAGATACAGATAAAATTGAGAAATTTCTTGACATTGCATACAAATTCTGGATAAAAGGAGCAGCTCTGTTTGGATTTGCTGAATATCAGTTTTTAGAAAACGGGCAAAAAGGAGCAGTAATTGTTCTTAGCAGAGTTTCATTATTTCAGGGAGGTGCGCGGATGTCTGATTCACTCCTGTAAGAATGTAATGCTTGCATTAAAATAAATCTAATGCTTATGAATAAAAAGGACTGTCTGACAGAAGTAAATAAATAAAGTCAACTGAACGTAGCAGATTGTGACAGAGCTAAACCTCTCATGATAAAAAATTATTTGAGCTTTATAGGCAGATCAATACAGCCCATCCACTTTAAACAAGTTCACACTCATACCAGAAGCAAAGTATTGCAATTACAATAGACTGCAAATCACTTTTTAATATCTGGGTAAATATTTGAGCAATTAACTTGCTTCAAGCTTCCTGCAACTGAGGCTTCACTCTTACTTGCAGAAAGACAGCATTGCCAGAAACCCAGAATCTGCCCTTGGATCAACCTTTGAAGGAAAAGACAGTAGCAACAATACCAGTGACATACAATGTTTGAGTAATAATTCTGGGGTTATTCAGACTCTATGCAGAAATGCGGGTTAAGAAACTGCATGAAGTTCCAGGGAAGACATTTTCTACAGCACTTTGAGGAAATAAAATTTAAGAAAATTGCATTTACCGTTTCGGACATTCCTAGAGTTGTGAGAGTCGTAAGAATATTGATGTAAGTGAGCGGGTATAAAGATCAAAAACAATAGATCCACGTCAGGCTTTTCTTTTACTCTGAGGTTTGGCTCCCTTCCATGTTTTCATAAAATAAATTGGCTGTTGCAAAGCAGCTGGTAGCGTTCTGCCGAGTGGAAGTATCCCAGCAGAGGGACGGAAGCAGGCACAAAAAGGTAAGCAAGAGTGAAAGTCTTTACAGCAGGGTTCTGAATGGGTTTCAAGGTTTCAGATTAAGACTTTATTTGCCATGCTGCTTGCTTAGAATCTAACAAATACTGATTTATCTGTTCACTTTAAACTTCTCTTCCAAAGCCTCTTCTGCAACCCGTTTTACATCTCATCTGTATGTTTCTGTATCTATTTTAGAGTCCCTAGATTTTGTAAAAGCTAGTTGATGTGATAGTAATTGCATCCCCAGTATTTATTAACCATAGATTGGCATAAGAGCCTTTTAATTTCTTTTTAACTTCTAAATTGTTAAATTGTAAGAAACTTTGAGAAGTTACTTATGTTATTTGAAAGCAGGGCTGTCAGCTGCAGCCGAACACAATAAAAACAGATCTCATCTAATGGTCCCAGGGAGTGCTTGCTGTGAGTGTATCGGTATAGAATTAGATAATATTTGGATCATTCTACTGCATGAATGGACTCCAAGTTTTTTAAGTTCTGTTTATACGTACTGAGATGTGCCTGGGATAAGTGGAACAGTGAACGATGCCTAAGAACAAAAGAGATTACTAAACAGGCAGGAAGTTTTACAGATTATATACTATTTTATATAAAACGGATTTTCTTTACTGCCTTCATGCAAATGCATCGACTTGTATGTAGCAGGAAAAAGATTCAAACCCCCTATGCTTTCAGGGTGACCTTGCTGCCACTGACCACCAGTGTGCTTAAGTACAGCTGATTCCAGCAGCTTGAAGAGCCAAGGATCGAGTTTTCTGCTTCCCTTCCAGTTAGTGTGGATGTGAAACAAAATGAAAGAGACCACTGTCTCCAAAACAAATGGTGTCTGACCTGTTCTGCAGCCAAGAACATGCACCTCCTCTTTCTAGCCCTCCTCAAGCAGTGTATACCACACAGAAGTGGAAAATTAGTGAACTGAAGAAATGGGCATGAAAAGACATTGCAACAACAACAAAAACACATAACAGAAACAACTATGAATAAAAATGTGGGAGTAGGTGGCATGTATGTAAGTACATGGTGGAAGAGGAAAGGGTTATTAGAATGAGAGCGTCTTTATTTCGCACACTGCTGTGGGTTGCATGTGGAAATTGAAGCTGTGGAAGCTTGTGTCTTTTTAAATCATTGTAGAGAGTTTTATTTATCCTACAGTGCCAGCAGAACTAAGATCTAACACAAACTTTTACAATTTCTCATTTTTAAATGTCTGCCGATCAAAATAACCAAAAATAACTGAATTGGAGTACAGTCCTTCAGAACTTGAATATACCCATTGTTCTGAGAAGAAAGTTTTCTAAGAATCATTCCTCTGCGCTCCCCAGGAGTTCTTTGGGGTCCTAGCTTGGATTGTCTTTGTCTTCTCACGGAGGTGATGGCTATAAATAATTCAGATGAAACACTCTTTGTGTCTCGGCAGTTAGCAAGGTGTCACTTTAGCTCTTCATAAAATTAATTTCCACTTCAATAAGCATTTAGGCCTATCTGAAAATAAGTTGCAATTAATAACTGCAGTCTATGAAGTCCAGAGTCAATGGAATCATAAGATACTTCCCTGGCTGTTTCACTAGTCGTAAAAATCAGGACTTTGAATCTTCCTGACTTCTGATCGAGTGCAGTCAAACTTATACTTTCATTAGAAATGTTCAAAGAGGGATCAAATGCCTATTTTTGAGCATCCCTAGTTCTAACTAGGTCTTGATGCTTTGTAGGGGCTGAACTCCTCGCACAGCAATGCCTCTGACTATCCACAAGCTGGTATTATTTCCCAGATGCTCTGCAGAGCTTGGCGCAGGAGGTTGTGGAGGTCAGGTTCTGTTAAGATTTCGCAAATGGTCTTCTTTATTTGTTTAGCTTACTTCAGTGATGAAGCAGTTACAGAAAGATGAAGAAGACCTTGCCTTTACTTTCTACCCCGGCTATTTTTTACCAGACATTTGAAAAATGAGAAAATTCAGTAAGTAGGAAAAAAAAAATACTTTCCTACTAGAGATATTTCACTTTTCCATAGGCTAACTCAGTGTTCGTTTTTAACTGAGCCAAAAAGTAAAAAAGAACTTTAGTTAGCTTTGTGTAATTTACTAATAGAAGTGAAGTGAAAGAAGTCCTTCATTTTTACCATTTCCCATAAATAACAAAATGTGAAATATTGCACCAAAGAAATAAATCAAACTAGAATACAGAACTCACCTCCCTAAATGATTTCATAAATTATTTCTGTCCTGCCACAGCCACAGGCTGTCTGGCCTAGCTGATATTCAGTTACTCTGTGCAAAGCTAAAATTATGGGGCTGAAGTTATCCTTGCCTTCACTTAGATCATTTTCCCAGGGTACCATAAATAACTGAAGCCAGGTGTCTTCTGTGACGTGCATTTTGCCATAAGTAGTGGTCACAAACTGTTGATTTCAGAAAACTACCTAGATGTGAGAAGCCCAGCCTCCCTTTTTTCAAACTGAAGTATTATCCTTGGCTTTTCTGAAGTGCAGTGATTCAAGCTAACAGCCTACTAGCTGGCTGGGCGGTTCACTCATCAGTATATTTCCCATTCTTAGATGCTAGCCTTTCCTTAGGATATCTACCCGAGGTAATCCATTTATTCATCTGTCATTCAAAAAGAGAGACGCGTTGTTTTAGTAAATGTAATCACAAGTGCAACATCATTTGAAAGATGCAGAATACACTGAGGTCAAATGATTATATTGTGGATGAATCACTAATTATCTGAGTTATACGAATGGTTTGAGGTTGAATTTTTTCTTGCAGCTGCTTGTTGTAGTCATGAATGAATTATTCTAATATGCTGATCAAGTTTACAAACTCCAGTTCTCCTTCTTGACTCTCCGTTTAAGATTACAAAATAGCTGCTTGTCTTTACTGAAATTTAGGCTATAGCATGTTGAAGTTAGCATCCTAAACTATCATTTATGAATGCTTTGAAAATGATCTAAAACCAAGGTATTTCTGAGGGACAGAAAGTGTGTGATTTTTCAGTCCGGCCACTGAACTGCAGAAAGATTGCTATGGGTGAAAAGTGTAAATTTAAAAAAATGAGATAACATAAACTAGTCATATTCTTTCTAGGGGTAAGTTTTTTTTCAATACATTCCTTTAACATGACTTTATGTATACATCTTAGTAGAAATTCAGATATATCCAACTGAATTACTGCCATCGGAAACACTGTTCTTGCTTTTTAAGACGCAAGCCTGAGTCATCCAGGCTATCATGTTTATTGGATTTATCCTGATTGCCTTGAATGTCACGTATTGAAATGTTACCATTTTCAAACTTGTTTCTCAACTGAAATACGAACTTATACTTCAGGACCAGGAATGAGAGACAACTCAGGTTACCAGAGCTTCTCAACGAATTGCAAAATGGTGCTCCGCTCAGGCCGTGAGAAGCCATACAGAGTGCCTACTTGTGGAAGGCGAAGAGTGAGAAGGACATTTCCGGTGAGCGCCAGATCAGCAGCTGCTGAAAACTCAGGTAACTTCTCCTTTTGTGTGAAAGGTGTGTTTGTAATCTTGGGATGCCAGTCCAAGGTAGAATTCAACTAAATCAAGTATCAAAAGCAGCTCAAAATTGAAAATACATGAAGGAATAGCAAAGCGAAACCTGGCTTTAAAAAAAGTGAGCACTCCTCAAAGGAGTGACGTTAATTTTTTCATATGACCAAATGCATTATGGTGATTTCTAAAGTACATCTGTAACTCCCTAGAAGAGACTGAACGTCATAGCAGGCCTGCCAACTGTTCTGAGTACTGTACTAGTTCTTAGAGTGCATCAGAATTCTTAAAATGTAAGAGCTATAATACACCATCACAGGTCTTTCTGAAAGTGTTGCTCTGCTGATTTCTTTTGAGAAAAACCCTTGCTTTTTCTGGAGGCCTTGTAGTTCAAGTTGTCAAACCAGTGAAGAAAAGGCCTTTGCCCATGTATGTGCCTAAGGTCCAGCATAGGATGTGTCAGAGTTGCAGTGCAGGAGGGTCAGAGTGCACATCTCTTGTCATTTTGGTTCATTTTTTTTTCAAGAACATGTTGTTGCTGTTCAGCAGAAACAGGGACAACTTCTCAAAGACAGTTCTTTTTTTCTTTTTTTTCAACAAAATTTCAGCTGAAAAGCAGGTATTTCAGGGGAACTGTACCAACTTAAAAGGACTAATAAAAGTTTGCAGTGAGGTCAAGCATTCCCAGAGCATTATGTCATAGCCAACGCATTTTCAGTATCCTGTTGCTTCACTTGTCTAAGTTTTGCAGCTCAGGAAGGACAATTCACTTTACAACACTTGTTTACTATAGAGATCTATGTTGTTACCAAAACTTCTTCAGCTCTGTACTGAATTGCAAAGTAGCAAACCTGGCCCAGGAAAAAATACTCAGTCTAGTAAAATCTAAATTGTGCCTTACAGTGTTAATCTGTAGATGCTGCACACTTATATTCAGTTGTGGGGAAAAACAGCTTCTCTGCCTAAGAACTTTTACCTATAAATACCTTTGCTGTCATAGTATATTTCTCTTTTCAGTAAGAGATGCCAGGTACTCCGAACAACCTCCTCTCCTGCCCATCCAAGCCTCCAGCCGCCCCTCCAAAAAAAAGGCTGCTAATTTAGGTAGCCATATGCGCCCTAAAACACTTGTTTGTATGCAGATCTGATTTTCAAAGTGGAAAACTGGGGAACAGGGAGGTACATACTTATGACAGGAAGGAAACTAGTCCGGGAACAACATGCTGCAGAATCATTTCCCTCACTTCACCTTTACCTTTGTTCAGATTAAATTTACACCTTCACAGTGTGCTGTCTACATGTGTAGGCCCCCACGCAGGGTGTTACTTTGTTTTGCCTTCCCACGCCAATTGCTACTTTAGACCCCCTCTTTCTCTGTGTGTGTGTGAAAATTCCTCCTGTCCTTCTCAGCATCTTCCAACACAGCTATCTGCAGGTTGTCCACAACTCCAACCTCCAGGTTTACAGCATCCTTTCGAGTAGGAAGACATTTTTGCAAGCTCAAGTTTCTGCACAAATGGGGTAACTCTCCAGAAAGCTCAGCTTAAATCTCATGTTCTCATTGGGATACATTGCAAGAAAATAAATCCTTGCTTTCCTTCTTGGCCACAGCAACCAAGCCCCTTAAAAAGCAGCTTAAGCTAACTATAATTATATGTTGCCCATACTATTCTAATGTACATGTAGTTTATGTAAAATTTACACTGATTATCAAGCAAAAATAGCTATAAAATACACCTTATACTTTATTAGGTAATTGTATCATTTTTCTCTTATCAGTACAATTAATTACAACTCATTTATGATTAGAGCTTCAACTGCGGAGAACACTGAGGTGCTATATACAGACCGAAGATTCAAAAACTGTGCATTTCAACTTAGATGAATGTGGTCGTCATGAAATATCAACCATGGATTCACAACACCCTGCAGGTAGTGTGCCTCTTGGACCAAGAGTCATGAACTGCTTGTGTAGCATCACAAGAAGCTGCTGAACGCACCTTTATACAGTCTGTTCATGAGCCAGAACAGGTGACATTTTATTGCATTGTTACGAATATTGACAGTGATATATGAAAACATTTATTGCAGTTTAAAATAAGTAAGTATAATACATACTGTTAAGTACGTAAGTATACATAACAATTTTTCAAAAAAGATTATTTTGATCACTCCATCTAACTTATTGGGAAATCTACATTTTTGGCTGTCAATCATAGAATGGCTTGGATATGAAGGGACTTTGAAGACCATCCAGTTCCACCCACTACATCAGGGTCACATCCAAACTGATCTTAAATGCCTCCAGGGATGTGGCACCCACAGCTTCTCTGGGCAGCCTGTGCCAGTGCCTCACCACCTTCTGAGTAAAGAATTACTGCCTAATGTCTAATCTAAATCTCTTTTAAAACCATTCCCCTTCATCCTGTTACTATCAAAGCGTTTAAAAAGTCAAGCACCCTCCTGTTTGTAAGCTCTCTTTGAGTACATGAAGGCCATTACAAGGTCTCCCCAGAGCCTTCTCCAGGCTGAAAAAGCCCAGTTGCTTCAGCTCTTCTTTGTACAGGCAATGCTCCAGCCCTCTGATCATCTTCATGGCATCCTTTGGACCCTCTCCAGGAGCTCCATGTCTTCTCCGGTATTGGTTTCAGTATTTCAGGGAGGATATTGAACAGGCAGAGCAGAGAAGGACAGTCACCTCTCTGACTGTTGACCATCCCTCTTTTGACAGCTGGCTTTCCAGGCCACAAGTGCAAACTGTTGACTCATGCCAAGTTTCTTGTCCACCAGAACCTCAAAGCCCTTTTCTACAGAGCTGTTCTCAATGAGCTCTTCTCCCAGTCTGTGCACCAATCTGGGACTGCCCCAATGCAAGTGCAGCACCTTGCAAAGAAAACATTCAGAGACAAGGGCAAAATTAAGAAAAACAGAGACATTCTGGAATTTGTAGAATTATTCCATTTTTCATGTAAACCTTCTTTTATCTCAGGCAGGTCTTTTCTAATTGATCCCAAAATGGTACACAGAACCACAGAAGTGGTTCTTAGGGGGTTTGTTTGGGGTATTTGTTCGTTGGTAAGAGGCAAGTAACAACAAATGCAATTACCCTAGAATTATTTGTTTTCCAAAGATGAGATAATAGAGATAATAAACTAGGCAGATTTCTTATGAAAGTACAGTAAAAAGTGTAAGATCTGTGAGTATGCTCATGGTGTTAGAATCCTGTTGTAGAAGATACTGCTGTTCTCCAAGAAAAGAAAAAAAAAAGAAACAACAGAAAAGAGGAAATTCTATGTGATACATTTATATGTGTAAACACAAGTACCACAAACATATGCTCATGATAATATCATCAAGATAGCACCATATAAGGAGCCAACCCCTTGTTATACTATTATCTGTGGCTTTGAGCTGAGTAGGTAGTGCTTTCACCAAAGCGCAGCCTACATAGTGCACGCTGATGCAAGAAATGCTGCAACACCCATTCCATGGCTGCCTGCTACTTCTCAATCTTACTCACTTTGTGTCAGGAGTCTCACATCTACTGCCCAAAGACCCTAGGGATTTCTATTTGATATCGTTTCATCACTGGCCTCCATTTTGTCAAGTGTATTCTCTTTTGTAAAAGACATCCAGTCAGTATATTTATTAGACTCAGAGCACATGAGAATTCAGGGTGCATGTGCACAGGTGTACAGGTACAACCGTTCAGTCCTAGTGGCACCACGTGAATTCAGAAACCTGCAAGAAATGAAGTCTGATGTCTACTGCAGCTCCAAAGCATTTCTCCATTTCTCAGACTATACACTCAAGCAATTCTTCAAATCATTATGTTTTTAAGTTTGAAGGATGGTTCTGTCTGATTCCAAATCTTTTGTTTTAGATACAGCATGGTTAAGCCTGTTCACAAGCAAGGAGCCAGCAGTTAGAGGTAAGACTTGAATGACTCATGTGGGAGGAAAATGTTTCATTCTCTTTGTTAGGGACTGATTTAAAATGAGTTTGTAATGTTTTTAAGACATCATATCAGAAGCCATATATTAAACCAGATGTTCATTTAGGTCAGGCTACTGGACAATCTTAAAAACCACAAAACTTGCCATAGCAAGTTATGAATAAGGGCTTAAACAGAAGATAAATGTCTTTGCACAAGGAAATAGAATGCACTCAATCTTGAATCAATATTTTTAAAAGAAAAACATGTGCTATATTGCTGGCATTTGAGTCTCAGCTAGCAAAGACCTGTTGTAACAGGAAGGGGAAAATAAAAAGTGTATGAAGAAAGAGAAGACATATTTTTGGAACCTCCCCATTGTAAGCATAACAGATGAGTGGTACACTGAAGGATATATAAGTTCCAGTATTCCAATAAAAGATTAATTTATTTCAGTTTCAATTACAAAGAATTGCTGTGATCCAGGATTGCACCTTGACCAGTGGTCAAGTGGATGTTTCTAGGGAAGACTATAAAATACTGATCCATCCATTCAGTACTTGCCTAAATCCCAACAATTTTCATTTCAGGGATACCCCAAGCAAGAAATGGCACCTTGTATTTCATCAATTACAAGGCATTCAATTTAGCACGAGTTTGTAAAAGTATCCCCTAAGACTCTGGTTTTAGAAATCAGAGAAGATAAATAGCTCAACCACAGCCCAACAGAGAGTGGAAGCAGCATGTACAAAATCATGGAAAACTTCCTTACTTTGGCTAGCAGCAGCCATCTATCCAATAGCCCATTTGTCACGTTTATCAGACGTGATTTGGACAGCTCATCTCCCTTCAGTCAGAACACAGTTATGACTTGGGTATGAAATATCTCTTGCCAGCTCATGTGCCACCTGTATGCTACAGCTGATGTTGGACAACTGGCTGAGGTAGTCTGAACTGGTGAATCTGCAAGTAGTGAAGCGGGAAGACTTTCAGAAGTTACATTCATCAAATGTATTTATAAATACGCAAGCTGAGCACAGTGTGCTGAAGTGCAACTCAAATTTTATCAAGGATTTTTATGCCCTTTCAATGCTGTTACTGGTTCAGACAAAATTCCTTCGGAAGACTTCTACAGAAGCTTTATAGCTAGGGTAAGAAAGGCTAGCTAAAATAATATGTAGGATTAGGGAACATAAAATAGGTCCAGTGGAATTAGTGTGTTCTGCTGATTCAGAATAACCTTCAAAGGCTGAAAAATATCCTCAGTGACACGAAAAAAAACACAACTCTTTAACTGCAGCTGTTAAAGCTGTTAATTACTAACCTCTGCAACTCTGTATGCTCTGTATTCATTTGCTGTGGTGATGGACATGTAGTTTTTTTTTCTCTGATTTGAACACCTTTCATATGATTAATTTATGAAAAAATTATCCCTGATACAAAAAAGGTCTTAAAAAATAAGTTTTTTAGGTTTGGTTTGGTTTTTCGTGTTTTTTCTTTTTGTTTGTTTTTTGTTTTTTTTGTCATAAACAGCACCCTAGAAATCTTTTCAAAAGCACAAGTAGTGTTATTTTAAATAAATCTTCAAGGCAGATATTTATGGTAGGTAATGCTATTTGCTAGCTAATGCTTTTGTGTCACATAATAGTTGACAAAAAGTAGCTTTATTTTTTGTTTTTCTGGATCTGGAACTTTGAACCATCCAAAGGCAGTGTTTGTTTTATCAGATTGAAAATTATCCCATGTTGTATACACTTATTTCCTGCAGCTGAGAAAACAATGTTTTCAGAAAGGAATTGTATCCAGTGCACCCACTGACAGTGGAAAGATTTTAACCAACAAAGTACCCACTAAATAAAACAGAAAAATCCAGTATTTTCTGTAGGGGCTTGTGCATGGTCAGGTGTATTATATAAACCAGTATCCTGTATACCTGTAATAATATTATATACCCGCTAATAACCATAATAATGTGAATGTGCCTTCACAGTTGATGAGTTTATGTATATAAGCGTACTTATACTCACATACATCTGATACTCCATATATCATTTTTTTATCCATATTCAATTTTTTTTCGGAGAGAAATTGAGTTTTGTGTGACAAATTTAAATTGTCATGAAGTCATAGACTTTAAATACTTCTCAGAGGAAAGACTTACTGAGTGATTGTATTTGTTTTTCTTCCTGTCCCTATCAGTGTAAAGCCAATCTGAATGTTGTCCGCTTTACTGCTTTCATCTGTGCTTCATTTTATGAAGTGATACACATGTTATTGCAATTCTTCTTCTAGGAAAACCAAACTCTAAAAACGTGGTGGTCCTCATGCAGCGATTAAAGTGTAATGAATTTGTGCTGTTGAGCAAGGGTGAAAATCAACTCTGCCTGAAGGTAAGAAGTAGTTTAATTTGTAACTTTTAAGTGCTCTTTCCCTCTATAGAACAATTTCTCCCACAGTCCTTTTTGAATTGGTTTTCCCTTCCTTATCACTTTCCACCCTGCATAACTTGACTGCCTCCCTCTCTGCTATCCAGACAAATATTTAAAATAGATTATTGCAAAAATAATTGGGCTTGGGATATTGCACTGAAACAAGGTGAGTTTAAGAGGGGAATTATTTTCTCCTTATCAGCCTGATTTACAAGAATCTGTTGTCAGAGCATTCCCATTTTCTTCAGTCTTTGTGGTTTATTTATAGTGGGAAGAGCAGTCAAGGTCAGATTTCCCTGTGGTATGCACAGGTTACAAACCTCACTATCTGTCTGAGGAAGAATTTCATGTAAGAATTTAACCTTTACGGCAGGGGAAAGATCTGAACTCTGTTTCCCCAAGTTATACCAAGATAAGGAATGATCATAGAATCATAGAATGGCCTGGGTTGAAAAGGACCATCTGGTTTCAACCCCCTGCTGTGTGCAGGGTCACCAACCACCAGACCAGGCTGCTCTGAGCCACATCCAGCCAGGCCCTGAATGCCTCCAGGGATGGGGCATCCACAGCCTCTTTGGGCAACCTGTTCCAGTGCGTCACCACCCTCTGTGTGAAAAACTTCCTCCTAATATCTAACCTAAACCTCCCCTGTCTCACTATCCACCTTTGTAAACAGACATACCCTCTCCTGTCTATATGCTCCCTTCAAATTTTGGAAGGCCACAGTGAGGTCTCCCCAGACCTTTGTTCTCTAAGCTGAACAAGCCCAGTTCCCCCAGCATTTCTTCGTAGGAGAGGTGCTCCAGCCCTCTAAATGTCTTTTCCTGAATAAATCTTCTGTGTTTTTCTTTTCTTTTTTTCATTTCAGGACTTTCCAGAAAATGGAAATTTTTTTGGAAATATGCTTTATAAGATACATTAATCATGTTTATGATAGCATATCATGATGTATGTATAATGTAAAGTTAAAATCATAATGTAATAGCATATTACCACACTGGAATTTTTTTTTTACTTTCCTTGGAAGAGTAATTATTTTTTAAGATCTTTTCTGTTTCAGAGATAATTTTTCATAAATTAATGATATGAAAGGTGTTCCACCAAATCAGAGAAAGAACTGAGTGTTGAGTGCTAATAGATTTTACTGCTCCAACTCCTGTTTCAAAAGTATGGAATAATAGCAGATTACATCTCTTAGTGTGACTAAGAGCAGCTCTTAACCAAAAATGGCATAAGATGTCCTTGCTATCCCCCAAGCATGTAAAAGCCTTGGAAAGATCGCTGACTATTCTGTTTCCAACAGAATGTGAATAATTCTTTGTTTTTGACAGGAAATCTTGTGAGGATGACAGTGCTCCTTATCTGCAATTATTTCTTTTGTATTCGGTTATGGCATGCTGCAATCTCAGCTGCATTGCAAAATAGAATCTTGGCATTGAACAGTTTGTAGGATTTTCTTTTGATGTTTGTTTCCAACCCAATTCATAATATATTTGAGAACTTAAAAACTTATTCATGTCAGATAACTGAAGTTTAAGTACAAGTGAGCTTTGGGGGAAAAAAAAAAATTTAGAATTAATACAGCATTTTGTGCATTAGAAGTGGAAAATGTGGAGGCAAAATTACCAATTTCCATGGTTGTAAACACAGGTTTTAAAGGGATGCTGTTCCGAGCCAGATCACACTTCAGTGGAAAAAAGCAACAGGAAAACGTGCAAGAAGAGAGGTCTTGACTTCAAAAAGGTATATAATTATGATCAATTAATAAAAACGTGTGTATGAGAGAGAACATATGCAAACATAGATGTAAAAAAAAAAATTGAAAAAAAGGCAGCTAAGTACATTTCTTTTGTTACCCATGAAATGAACGTTTATGTACTTATTTTTAGCATTTTCCTCAGAAAAAAGACAATGTGAACAACTTCTCCAGTTGGCTTGTGTGCACAATATGTTATTCAATCTACAGCCAAATATCTGAGTTTTAATTACATCATGAATGACAAAAACATGATATTTGTATTATTGTGCTTCTCTAAAATGTGGAGAGATGTACAAGAAATCATGCTGCATGAAAATTACTTTGCAAGGTCTAGAAAATCCTGATGAGTGCATTAGCAGATTGAGAAAGTTCGAATTGTAAGAATAATGATATTTTTAACAAAAATGAATCCCCATGTATCAAAAGCTTACTGAGTTGATAAAAACACAAAATATGGATAATAATAATAAGAAGAAATAATCATAATAAATACAAAATATTTAATATAAATTAAAAATTAAAAATAAGCAACCCCCAGAGCACTTTCAGACTGAATTTTTTTGTCAGTGGATGACTAAGGATCTGGAGTAACACACTGTGTATCTGATGTTATACAGGCAGCCAAGTCACTTATGTAGTGATGTATAAAATTCACAAATTTTGGTGACCAAAGTTTGATTTTGCCATTTCTTCTATAGATAGAAACAATAAAACATTTTAAGCATGGGAAGGATGATACTTTAGTTGTCCTTTAATATATTTTAAACAGATATTCTAAAGCAGAGAAAATAAAGAGCCGTGAAAATGTTGAGAACAATTATTTTTCATTATATGCATATATGTATTTCATTCATTACGGCAGTGCTCCAGCTGACCGTTCAAAAGGATGAAAAGACAATATTTCCAATTTCAGTAGGGAAAATTAAAGCTAACAGGGATCAGATCGCTTTCACAATTTCATAACAACAGACTGAAATACTGAACATCTAAAATTCACAGCCTAAAATTTATATCATTTCTAATATTTCTCCAAAGTCAGAAAGGAATTCTGGCAACTTGAGATTACAGTTAGTTTCTTGTTGAAGTCATTCTGAAATGATCTTTCAAAGGTAAAAGCTACACATCCATTGCCTCGTTTGTTTGCATAATTAGTTAACCGAGCTCTAGCAAAATAACAATTCGGTCCTTCAGTTTACTTTTCTCCTGAGGTTCCTAGCAGAAACATTCCTTGGTTCTACACAAAAGCAGAAAACATCAAGGCAGACAATATTTAAGACAAATTCTAGCCTCTTCCTTGCATGGTATAACTCTATCTTGAAAGCTTTTTTATAGAAGACATGCCTTTTCCTGTAGAGTTGATAGTAGAGAAAGAATTAAGAAATCATTCTAAGAACATATTTGTTACACAACTTACAAGGCAGCTAGTGAGTTGCCCATCCCAGTTCGCGAATACTCTCAAGTAGGAAATTGTGTTACTTACATCAGAGAGGTGAGTAGCCTGCAGTTGGGTCACGCCCAAGAGGCAGTGCCATTGCCCTGCCTGAAATTCGAAATTCTTGTCAACCTTCTACAATGAGTGCCCTAAACAAGAAATATTTTCTGATACAGTGAATTAAGCCTCCATAGTGCACCAGGCTCAGAAGTGGTTGACTGAGCTACGTGCTACCACAACATGGTATTTTGTCTGCTAGTTTTCAGCAGTGCTAAAAACTGGCATTTTGTTTATTACTGGAAAACTGCTGGTGGAATTACCAGAAATGTGAGAATCTGAAGCCTGCCATCAGGCTCATCATTACCAGCAGAAAGATTTTCCCACTGTGCTGTAGATTTCCATTTCTGAAATCAAGGCTTGTGGAGTCACGGCTAACAATCAATATTCATTAAAAGATATTTTATTATTTAGCCTGTTATCATAAGATAATAACAGTTTCTAACGGCAAATAATAGTTTGCAATGAAAGCTTAAAAATGACGGAGGATTGAAGTGGGCAGGTAACACAGACCACAGCCAATGTGTATTACAATGCTATGCTGCTAATCGCAGAGAAGTTTGCATAGTACACATCGTTCTTCCCTCACAGAAGGCACACGCTGGTGGTCATCCACCTGGAGCCAAGTCCAAGCATTGACTGGGCAGCAGTTATTCTAACCCAGTAGTATAGTTTGCTTATCACAGTTATCCACATCATAAAGCAGATAAGTACGTAATGGGTTGTAGTAAGAGGTGTGGAGTATTATTTCCCTCCCTTCCACCACAGGAAAGGCTTCCAGGTACGCCCACATGACATGTTGACAACAATGGGATGCTTCCAACCACTCATGTATTTCTCCTGCTGATTAATATTGTCTGTTCGAGCCCAAGTAAGATTACATTTATAATCTCTGCCACTTGATGTAATGCATGCCTAGGGAAATGTTAGCCCCAGTCATTTCTTCTAAAGCAAAGGTTATGAAGTTGAAACAAGTCATTTAGCATTCAGTGTTCACATTAATGTATTGATTTGACCTGAAGTGCTCAACTAGATTGTTACGTGTGATGCTCTTCTTATTCTTGCATTCTGTCTCACAAATCAACATTTTCCTCAGAAGTCTGGACCAGAATTATTCAGCCACATGGTGTCAGAGCTGTATCCTTATGGCACAGGCAGAAGAACAGTGAGCCTCTCAGCTCACTCTCAGTTTTTATTAAGCACTAGTAGTGCTCAGTCTTCCTTCAGTTTCATTCTTTTTTTTATTTCCTTCCTTGCTTGATACCCCTCCTAAATTCCTTCTTGCCTTGACATTCGTGCTTAAACAGTGACTGAAGTCAACAATTCTATCACTAGATTTGGCTCTTTCTCCTCAGGTTGTTCCCTGATGGGTTTATTATGTTGTTACCGCTGGACAGCATTTTTCCAGAACTGAAAGGCTGCTCACACAGTTCCATTAAGACCTGACTAGTTTTTATTGTATGGTCTTCTATAATTCACTGAGTAGCTAGGCAAAGCTAAGCAAGACAGAGTCAGAGGGCAGCTATGCAGTCATCAATAGCCTTACTGTGAGACTTACTCATGGTTCCAGTCAAATAGACTGAGATAAATAAAATACAGCACCAAACTGACAAGAAGTGAGGACAACAGAATTACTTTGGTTCAGAACTGTAGATTGTAAGTGATAATGCCATATTTACTGTGCCTAGCTGCTGGCTGGGGTCAATTTGTGGCTGTCCTTTTTGGCGCCTAGACAAAGTGGCCTGAACAAAATCACACCACTATTGAGCTCTTCTGCAAGAGGTATCCTACAGTCCAGTATGAGCAGTAGTCAAAGTGCATGCTATAACTGATGTCACCAAAGTGTTGTTCTCAAACCCTTGGATGGCAAGGTATAAGCCAGTTTGCTTCCATGTGGAAGGAAGTGCACAGCATCTGGAACTGACTGCTTAGGGTCAAAGTACAGCCCTACTGCTCTTCAGGACAGGACCAGCTGTGAGAAGATAAAGGCTGTGCTGGAGCAGCCACTTGCATGATTCCATCACCAGTGGGATAGGGAGAGATGAGAAATACAGAAATAAGAAGACTTTTATGTCAAAATAAAGACAGTATAATATGTGAAGGTTGGAAAAGCAATCAAACAAACAAACCACACTACGTGATGCAAAAACAATTACTCTCCCTTTCTCATAAACAGATCGGTCAAAGCAGAGACTGACAGCATAGAGAGCATCACCATTCTCTGAGCAACAGGCACCTTGGAAGGCAAAACAGTCCCCTCAGTGTTACTGTCCTCTGCACGCCATTGCTGAGCATGAAGTCATATGAGCATGAAGTCAACCCCCCTTTGGTGGGTTGGGGCCAGCTGTCCTGGCTGCATTGCTCCCAGCCTCTTGTCCAGCCTGCTCCCTGGGGCTGGATTTGAGAAAAAGAAGTCTTCCTGATGCTGAGCAAGCACTGGGCCATCAACCTGTGTGTCATCAGCCCTGCTCCAGTCTCAACTCAAAGCATCGTATTTTTCTGAAATATTTCCCAAGGACAATGACTTCACTGAGGCAGCTGAGATGGCTGTTCTGTTTTATTATTTTGTTTATCATCAGCTGTTGCTTATGATGATTAACGTTTCCTTGTTTCATGTGGGGCAAAATGTATGCTATAGTATGCCATGTAGATACCATGATGGTGTATGGTGAGTTGCTCTGCTTCAGCTGTCCTTTTCAGCCACTTATCTTTTAACTGCTTCCTGCTTCAGAGAGCAGCAGTTAGACCCAATCTGGGCTTTTGTTAATTGTGCCTCATTTGAATCCTTTTGTGCTGATTTATTTTAAAACATTGATACTCCTCTCTCGCACTGTTTCCTCTGAAACATTATTCACATACCTGGACAGATTTTCTTTAGCCTGTTGAGTCAACACATGTTGGGCATATGCTGCTACTACAAGAGCACTGTGACTTACCTGTGGGGCATGAGTAAGGTGTATTTTTTTCATGAAAGCAAACCTGCAGATTTATTTTTCCTCTAATGCAATGCCAAAGAAACAGATTTGTAACTGAAAACCACCTATTAATTTCCTAAATCGTACAAATGATCGTGCCTGCTGCAGCAGGAGCTGTTTTCTGGATGCAATATGAGGTAACCTCAGAAAGAACTGTTTGGAAGAAGTCTTTCTCTGGGTTTCGTCGTCTGCCTTCCTAGCAGGCCATAATGGAATATTACCCAGTTCCTGCTTTCTTGCATAGAACGTAGTTGTAAATACTCCTCAATGTCATCAGAACTGTGGCATCTCGCACTCTTGAGTCAGCACTTCCAGCAGTGGCTGCTCATGCACACAGCTGCTCTCTCCCACCCACACATATCATTACCCAAGCCATCTTCTGATGGTTTCCCTGACTGATTTTCTATCACCTCATGCAGCTAGGCAGGTATTGTTCCATCTCATTTGAGTGCCCCTTGCTATTCATCTTTGTAGGATGAATTTCTACACGGCACACACTAATTCCTCTCCTTGCTTCTTCTAGTTCTCTCTCTCTATTCTCCCCAGGGTCTTCTCTCTCCACCCTCTCTATGAATCCATCAGATTCTTTCATTAAATGTACAGTTCCATTTTACAGTTTTCATTCTCAAGTTACCAGAAGGTGTTTTTCTTAATGACACATTTTCCTCAGCTTTCCTGTTTTTAAAACATAAATTTTGGCTTGAAGCTGCAAATACTGTGCTGTCAGTCTGGTTTATCAGGACAAGACTTTTTAGCTGCTTTCCACTGTAGCTTCATTAATACAGGAGGTGTATCCTCACGTTTCACTTTCTGTGCTCTACAGTAACCACAGGGCATATTCTTTCCTTTCTTGTCAGTTGGGCTGAAAAGGCACATTTCTCTTTCTATGGCAAGGAGATTTTTGCTGGAATCTCCAGCATAGTTGGAACTGTTAACTACTCTTTCTCTGAGCCTTATCCCAAGCCTTTCTGATTTTTCTTTGGGCAGGCCTAGCATCTCCTCTAACTTTATCAGAGTTCTCATTGCTTATTTCAAAAGGCTGATGGACTCCAGAGCTGATGAAACTGAGGATTATCTCTTACCTTTCCTCTTTCCAGTGATGTCTTCTGGTAACATTTTTCATCCTCACCCAGGAGCACCTGGAGAGCTTATACACATTGAGTCTTACCAAGAGGCTGCTTGGACAATAGCTATTCCTTCTTAAGATGGATCTTAGAAGAAGATTTCTTGGAGACCTGAGATGTGTACAAATGGTACCTAATAAACCAGGTTTTATTAAGAGTAATAAACACTGTCATATTCAGATAATAACACAATAGGCAAGGGAAGCTGTCACTTGACATGTTGTTTCTACTGGCAGCTGACCTGGAAGGCCTGAGGTAAGGAAATGACCAGGAGAAAATCCTATACTATTCCAACAACTGGCATAGTGCAGAGCAAATCTGCACTGGTCTTTTTGGGAAGCAAAGGAATGCAATTGCAGTTCTGGAAGCACTCAGTCCTTTGAGAGAAGCAGGTACTGTTCTGTTTTCATTCCTCATAGAATCTAAACCAAATGATTAGATCTTCTAGGAAGATCTAGTAATATTTATGATGAACACTGGAAAATAAATGTCACGGAGAAAACCATTTAATATACACCAAGATAGCAATATCCCTGAACTTTCATAACATACTGGACCATAAAGAAAAGCTTTATAAAATAACTTGTGTTCTTTGCACTGTGTATTCTCATAGCTGAAGGAAGAGAATCACTTTTTCATCATGCATTCTGAAGGAGATTCGGTGAAGTTCCAGTGCTATGAAGACACAAATTACTTTCTGCACGTGAATGATCACTCACTTGACATACGCAAGCTGGATCATGATGACCCTGACGGGGAGAGAAACTTTGTCTTCAAGGTGACATATTTTTAGAAAAATTATTTTTTCTACCTTTGAATGGCCTGAGTGCCAATACTGCTCCTATCACAATCTATACAGAGAGGGCAAGAGGTTCAGGTTAACACATTTCTATTTTGCCTTATTTTTTACTTCTTTTTTTGTTGTTGTTTCAATCACCATTTTGTATGAGTAACATCTTTTCTTTCTGTACTTACAATAGGAAGAGATAATGGCTAAATTTGAAAAACAGTAACTAATCCTTTCATATTGTACCTGCATAATTATAGACTTCTGAAGCTGAATTCTCCCTGAAGGGGAAAAGTACATTGGGTATATTTCAAGGACAAGGGAAAAAGGTTCACGCACAGGCATGGAAAAGCATAGCTTTCCACAGTGTAAATATACCACTTTAAAAAAATAGTTTTCTTACAAGCTTATCTGAACTTGCAGTGAACTTGCATTTAGAAGTCATTAAATGCATATGTATGTGTACTGACCAAGTAGCTGTGGGAAAGCTGAGGAAAGTGTCGCTCATCTCAAGGAGAGCAGGGGAGGAGGTCAGGGCTTGGCAGCTCAGAGAGTGCATGCACTCAGCCTGGCAGCACTGCAGCCTCAACTGGGCCTCAGGGGAAGTGCAGTCAGTGCTTGGCTGCAAATTTCATAATGACTAAATAAACTGGAAGTGAGTAAGCGAACTGAAAAAAACACACACCACATCAGAGGAGCAGTCTTACAGCAAAGGGTCCTGTGAATCAGGGTTGGATTTGATAATCTTAAAGGTCTTTTGCAACCTTAATGATTCACAATTCTAGGAGGATGATGCTGCTCCTTAGAGCACATGCATTGCACTCTGCGAGGCACAAAACGCATTGAATAGAAGAGGAAACAAAACAAAGCTGTACACATTAGGTGTTAGAAGTCTGGTTCTCAGTTGCTGTGCATGCAGTCCCACTGCCATTTGGTGGCACTTTTCTTTAACACAATGCATTTGGGAACATACTTGTATGAATGCTAGGTGTCATACACCTGTGCAAGGAGTTGTGGCTTAGTTGCAGTGAAACAGTCCTGCCATGGCCGTTCACTGCCAGTGAATCCTAACATCAGCCAATCCAATTTGTGTGCATTACAACAAGGCAATATTATATTTCTTTCAGTAACAGCAGTGTGGTGCTTCACTGCTGGACTAATATATTTGGAACAGCAAAAATCATTTTGTTGCTTCCTTTGCTGATAGAACAGAAGAGAGCTTCTGAGTATTCTACCTGTGAGCAGTACCTGTGGCTTCTAGATCTGTTAAGTGTTCACTGAAGTCAGGGGGTGGGAAACAAACAAAAACACAAGAACAGCCCAATCCCAACAACAATGACAATGAGAAAACCTACATAGTTAATGGAATATACTGATGATAGGTGAATGGTTGTCCTGGATGATCTTAGAGGTCTTTGTGATTTTATGACTCTGTGCTTCTACAATTCTATATTGACTACAGCAGATGTTACATAAGAAGTAATTTATTTAGAATAATCTATTATGCTATACAAACAATAAATTAAATGGTATATTAGGAGCAATAATTTGACTGAGACAGTCTGGTATTTGCCTATGGTAAGGATATCACCTTACTCAGTCACAACAGCTGATGAAATTGCTACAACACATCACAAAGCTTGCATGAAGCATACTGATAAAATACCTTTGCTGATGTCTGCAAAAAATGTGTTCAAACTCCGTGAACACTGATTCTGTTCTGTAGTCAAAGCTTAAATTATGGCTGTAATGCAGAATGCTGCACTTCTACCATCTACCTTAAAAACAAGATTTTTAAAAATACTTTAAATCCTTATTGGATATCAGCAGTGGTAGTTTTGTGAAGTTGTAGACTCAAGATATAAAGTCAAAATGTTATTTGGCAATTTTTTTTCAGATAATAATAAATAAAGCTCTGTGATGAGAAATCAGATCAACACTTCATGGATATTCATCTTTCCCAGACTCTTACTTTGCACTTGCAAAACCTGTAAACTGACGTTTTCAGCTTCCAACTAATCTGAACAAGTAACAGACAAGGGAGAAAGCATATATTACCTTTATTTAGACATAAATACAAGACTAATGCCAGTGAGTTCTTTTTAAAAATATAGCCTCCTTGCTTTACAGTGGGGAAAAAAAACATATTTATCCAGTGTGTCTAACATTTGAATATGAAATATAATTACTACTTTGCAGTTTATTTTCAAAATGAGGCAGATACTCTTAAGCTTTTACTTTGCGGATATGATAATTATTAAAATACTAATATAAATAAATTAGTTTTGCTTTTCTGCACTTCAAAAGCTGTGCCTAATAGAAAATAATGGGTTCTGTTTGAAGGAAAATAATTTAATACAAGCGTTCTTCATGTGTAGCTTCATGGGCCTCTGGTACTTTGACCATATTTGTGACCTGTTAGAATAAAATTTGTAAAAGAACATAACTTAATAATGTGATTCTCATGCTAGTTAATCCAAGGGGGAGGAAAAAAAGTATAAAGAAGTGGTGACCGCGCCTGCCTAGGATCTATGTGCTAATTAATCCAGATACTGGATTTCTTTTGTCCTTGGAGAAGGGAATGGTCATTCACAGTAGAAAAACACTGAAGGTTGGCAGAAAGATCACTGCATTGAAGTCTGCTTAGGATCAACTGTTGTACATTAAAGCATGAGATTGATTCCCAACATTGCTAGGCCTGAAATACATGGCTTCTATGCACTGTGTTACATACTACTTTCATTATGGACAACCGTGGATTATGAACTATATATCAAAATCAGAAATTGTTAGTCTAATGAATGTTTTTACAGTTGGAACAAAAGCTAATGACCTAGCTTGAGTGCGGTTACAACAGTACTAAAACTTGTAAATCCTGTAATTAATTCAAAACAACCATTTTCTATTAAAGGAACACTATCAAATACTATGTACGCTTCCATCTACTCTGTTAACTCTAATCAGTAGCACAATAAAGGAATAGACAAAGATTCTCTCTCCTCCTCTCTGACACGAAGTCGCCAGCCCTCTAGTTGTTCTTGCTGGAAGTCACCCTTTTTCTTTGATGGGACATGTGATGGCATCACCACTGCACAGAATCACAGAACCATATGGGTTGAAAGGGACCTCTTGGCGATCATCGCACTCACCTGCCTGCTAAAGCAGGTTCCCTACAGAACGTTGCACAGGGAAGCTTCCAGGTGGGTCTCGAATATATCCAGAGAGGGAGACTCCACAGCCTCGCCAGGCAGCTTGTCCCAGGGCTCTGTCCCCCTCGCAGTAAAGAAGTTCCTCCTCATAATGGTATGGCACTGCCTGTGTAGCAGTTTTTTTTACCAGTTGCCCCTTGTCCTGTTGCTGCCTTAGATTTCAATAGACACATCAGCATGGGGAGACTTACTGATATACGAACCTCACATTTCCCCACTGAGGTTGACAGAACACTGTTCTATATTCAGCATAGATTTTAAGTACATATTTTGAAGTACAGTGTGAGCATCAGAGGAGATTTTACAAAAAACTGCCTTCTTGGTTTTGTTTCCATTCATCCGTAGTTTCTTTAACCAAAGAACCCGTAGACAGGTTAAACGCCTTTGCAATTCGCGCCTGCTGGGCAGCACTGCTCACAGCCCCTCTGCCGGGAGCAGCCCAGGCGAGCTGACAAACTCCACAGCTCCGCTCCTCGGCGCTCCCGCCGCGCTGCAGGAGCTGTGCGCGGGCACGGTGGGCGGGCACGGTGGGCGGGCCCACAGGAATACACCGAGATCCGACGGTCTCTGGCACCATCTCGTGGTCTGCAGGAATGCAGTGGTAAACTTGTACCTAGATTGTGCATCAGCAAGCCAGCAAAAAGATCTCAGCAGCAGAAAGCCGAGAACATTCACCTTTTCTTCCCACAGCGGAACTAATTTCCATCTGATACAAGGCCTAGATCTTCTGTCTGGAGTGACAGGAGAAGGCTGACAAGCATGTCAAAGGTAGGAAGAGTTTCTCTCTATTAGCATTTTCAAGGCCACATCAGGAACACTATTCTCACTTTTGGGTTTCCCAGTACAAACTGGAGCAAAGATGAGAGACTCGGTGCATGCCCAGGGCAGGTGAGGCCTGGGGAGGAGAATCCTGGAGATGAGAAGGTTAAAAGTCTTCACCTGGAGGGGTTGTGGAGAGGACAGAAACAAACTTTTCCTTAGAGTGTACGACAAAAAGACCACAAGCAGTAGTCACAAGTAGTAGCAAGGGCCTTTCTGCCTGTGAATTACAAAAATAATCTGAAAATCACAAGGATATGCATGTAGAATTTCAAGCAGTCTTTGTGAGCTTTCCAACATTTGACTGGACAAGGACACGTGCAGTCTGACCAAATACTCTAGGTAAACCTGCTTTGAGTGTGCAGCTGGGCAAGATGATCTCCAGGAGTTCCTTCCAATCTAAATTACATTATATCGTGACTCTCAGGCAGCTTCCACGTGTTACAACTTACAGAATATTTACTCCAAACAGCAAAGTGTGCAGTGCAAACTATGCAAACATACCACATAGAAGAGCCACAGAAGAACCACATAAAAGCACATAAAATGAAATGAAATGCCTTGATTTCCTCCCAAGGCACAATGCATTCGTGACTGCAAGTGGGCTTGAGCCTGAGGGGAGATAAATTCACTGGCAAAGCAGATTCCGTCTTCAGGAAAACTCAAAACAAAACATGCACTTCTTTCAGAGCAGAAAGCTCTGTATGTAGAAGAAACGTTAATTTGGAAAATAAAAAGTAAAAAAATATATCCTGTCAGGGCAATTTAAAAGCTACTGCATTCTTCCTGATTATATGTGTTGTAGTTTTTCTTGTGATAATGTTCTTGATATTTGAAGGAACAGAAAAAACAGCAGGTACTTCCCACTGCACTGAAGTCTGGTCAGTTCTGCCAGGATTTCCTCCACCGCACTTTTTAAAAATAAAAAATAAGTTCAATTCTATTTAAAGTATCAGAATGTACATCAAAAATCCCGTTATGATATAAGATCCAGTACACCTGGCTAAAAATGGTGCCTAGATTCCAGATGTTGTACAAATGACTATCACATCAATTACTTCTTGAAATAAACAGATTTCTCTTCTGCATATTGAAGATGTTATCCAAAAACATCACATTTTCTGCAGTGTTAAGGCTGTACCATTAGGTGGTAACAGGAAAAATGTCATTTTCACAGCTTTTCTGTAAAAATATTTACAAAGAGAAAGCAATAAGATGTTCAGTACTCTCGTCAAGTAGCCATAGTGGTGGGCTTCAAGCCTAATTGGTCTTAAGGAAAGTAACTGAATTGACCAGCAGGCACTGATAAAAAAACCTAAAACATTGCTGAATGTGTCTTTGCTGTCAGTTTGTTGATAAAGGCATTCTAAGGTGTTTTACAGAGACTGAATGTGAGAAGTATATGGAAAAAAAAGAGTCGAGGAAGTCTAGAAAATGGATTGAAACTGGAGAGAGAAGCATGGAGAAAGAGAACAGAGGAAGACAGAGTGACAGTATGGAATTAGAAACGTACTGAAAAATTCAAAATGGAGACAGGTCAGGTAAAAATGTGAAAATAAAAAGCACGGAAAGGGTAGTGTGACTCCATATGCAATTCCTTCCTCTTTCTAGAAATCTAACAAACAGAAGAGTTACCTACATTAACTGTGCCTAAAAATCTGTCTGCTGAGAAAAAGGACATCTTAAACTGGCTGGATCTGACCCCAAGCCATTTCTTCACAGCAAAGTACATTCTCAAATAAGGGCAAACCATGGTTTAAAGAAGTCACAAAGGTACGTTAAAACAATTTTACTTTAATTTTAACTGTAAGATTGAACTGACACAGAAATAAATACACATCATGTCTTCATTATAAACCATCTGGAAACCTAAGTGTCGGTGTATTTGATGTCACACTGAAGTTTGTGTGCCTTGTCCTTCAGTCCTCAGACTTAATGGCAGGACAGGGTCAAGTATTTTTATGGGAAAATAGACAATATGACTACATCTTCTTTTGTCTTTTAGTCATCCAATTTCTCCATTTCTAATTTTATGATTATGATTTTTTTCATTTATAGCCTAAGAATAATTTCAATGTATTTGTCCTTTTTTTTTTTTTTTTTTCAGCTTCCATCTGGCAATGCCATGAGTTTAACAGCATCATTCAAAGTTAACTTTGAAACTGAATTTCAAAGGACAGGAATTTACCTCGAGCTATTGAAAGTTACTCACTAGCAGTGTAACATCTATGGGAATCAAAGGGATCAGATGAGTTTTAAAGCCTGGCTTGTGTAAAATACACATTTAGTTTCTAGTTGTTTAGTCCAGGACATTACTCCCTATGCTTTCTCTTAAGTCATGCAAAGAGTATCAAAACTCACAAACATAACGCTCAACAGAAGACAGGAGTTCAAACACAGAAACATTCTATAACCCTTGTCCTTTCTTGCCTGTAATTCCCTTCTTTTTTATCAGTTGCATTCTTTCGTCATCTTGCACCTAAAATAGAAGTCTAAACAAAATATGTTTGAGTAACGTCTCAGTGAGAATCCAGTTCTGACCACAGCCTAAATTAGTAAATAAATATGAAGAGCTACTTTATGTTTTCACAACTCTGATAATATTTTCTAGAAACAAGGATGAAGTAAGCTGTCGAGAAGCAATTCTTCTACTGCCAGCACAGGGTTAGTGCAGGAGTGTTTTGATGGCAGCTCTGTAGTATTAGTGCTAATGAGCAGGACTACAGTTTGTCTAGAAAGCTGCCAGTGCCAGAATCCATGGATATATTAGTGTAATTCCATTGTTACACCCAATAATACCACAGTGGGATGTGCAGTTAGTAAACAAAAGAAATCACTCGCTGTGCACCAAGGTGTTCATAAATAAATGACTAATATTAAAATAACCTTATTACGAAGGAAAAAGTTATCATGCAAGCTACTCATCTGTAGATGCAGGCTGTTTATTGAGTGAGAGATTCTAATGTGAGCTCTGACCTCATACACAACAGTGCTGTGCTTTTTAGTGAGTTCCTGGCTCCCTGAAAGATACATCTCAGTACTTCTGTGTGGTTATGACACCAAGCGTCATTGCCCAGCGTTAGGACCGCTTCTTTCATCTATATAGCATGTATGTAGAAAATACAGATGTTACTAAGGTAATCTATGTTATAATTGGAGTTGTAATGAGCTCCACTGACCTTAATAGAAGAACAAGCCCAAACCCTCCTCCTTCTGTTCTGGAATCTTAAAGCTTAGCTGCATTTAAAGGTAACAAGTACAGCTGTACAGCTGAACACAGTAGTACCACTGACACTGGTTTACTTAGGTTTGAATGTTGAACACTGCTGCTTTTCATGTTACTTACACTTTGGCCTAAATAATTAAAATGAATAACACATTTTTAAAAGACATTTGCAATAGTAAAGTGCTACGGGTGGAATGTCAGGATTGGGAGTTGGAACTAAGAAGAAATAACTCAGAGGTTTTTGATTTGGAACCTAGTAATACTGGCAGAGGCAGACTCGAGAAAGCCATAAATGCTACTCTGAATTATGATGTCTTAGATCTCCTAGTAACTGCTGTGCTTCTTGAACACCATGCCAGATCAGCAGCAGAGTCAATACTGTACTTCAGTCCTCTTCTGTTTGAATGAGACTGTAATACAGCAACAAGAGAATAAGTCTGCTTAAAGCATGACCATACAATGCTGAAGCCTGCAATTTGGCAGAAAACCAGAAGTAGACAAAAAACTCAAAAGCAATTTTGATTGCTGTATTGAAACCAACATATTTTGAAAATCGGTGCCTAAGTGAAATATGATTTCAAGGGCTGAAGATCTGGTAAAGCATCTCTTCTTCAGGGTACACTATAAGCATAGTCAGGTAGCTGGTAAATTTAGCAAATGGATTAAACAAACACA